ACAAACCCTGGGAAAGGCTGGTATTGAATTGATCACAAATATCCCTTTTTTGATTTTAAAGGGAGAGGAATTTGTGAATCAAAGGCTGTGTTTAATTATTTCTTTATTAAAGATTTAAAGACTGAGAAGATGCTCAGTGAGGGGCCTAGAGGGAGAAATAAGGAAAAGTGTGAGAGAGGGACAGTGTCAAAGCTGGAAAGCAGAGCCTTTCCCTGGTAACTTGCAGGACCACACCCAAGGAAATGGAGTTTGACCTTCAAGAAAAATAGGTCAGCAGGTTCTTCGAGGTAATTGTACCCACGTTCCTGGGGATGAGGGAAATACCTCTCCAGGAATCCTCTCCAGCTTTCCACTGCCTGTTCTGAAGAGAAATCCTTTGTCTTGCAAAAAAAAAAAAAGTGAGGTGTCACTATTGCAGTGCCCAGGACTGGGTAATGGAGTTGTTACAAAGCCAAGGGAACTGATCCTCCTTCTTACCATTCAAAGAACCACTTGTCTTTCAGAAAGTATCAAACACCCTGCTTTTTTCCAGGCTGTGTAGTTCTTTTTGATCTTCCCCATATTCTTCACCTGCCTTTTGTGCCCCAGAGGCACAGGGTGTCCCTGCAGGAGCAGGGGGTGCCCGATGCCATCCCGATGCATGGCCAGCGGAGCAGAGCACGCTCCTGGAGCGCTCCCACGGCCCCAGTTCAAAGGCAGGATGAGGGCAGACAGCCAGGAAAACCACAGTGATCCACCACCTCCAGGATAAGGGAGATCTGTGTGGGACTTCCTGCAGGCTGGGCTCACCCACTGGGTCCCCTCTCTTGAAAATCTTACGGACTTCTTGGAAATAGTTCAGCAGTGCTGGCTCATGGTAACAGTGGTATTGTTGAGTCTGTTAGTTCAATGCAGTCACAAAAGCAAACAGCTCCATTACATAAAGGTTGAGTTTGGCAGATGTTGAACTTTGTCCTTGCAAATAAACCAGGCTGTTCCCACTGAGGGCACTGGGACTGGAATTCTCTTTGTAGGCCATGTTGCTGCTAACAGGTCATTAAATTAATCTGCAGTCAAAAGTACACTTGGAGAAACCATCCAGAAGGAAATTCCTTTTGTATTTCTCCTGTTGTCGTTCTGTTCCCATTTGTGATCACTTTAAAAAGGCTGAAAGACACCTGGAAAATGCAGGTTATTGTTTTATAATGTTCCTTCTGAACATACTGAGAAAGTCCTAATAATCCCTGTAATTCTCTTTTGCTGTTTCAGGAAGCTGAAGCACTGGCCAAGCAGCAAGCGTGAATTTCAACTGCCTTAAATTTGTCTGTAAAGGGAATTTCCACAGCTTTTTATAAAATAGTCCAACTGTCTCTGCTTCAAGAAATGTAGATGTGATTTCTAACATTGATTGGTGCTTGCAGCATTCACTGTACGTAACCCAAACTGAACACAAGTGGAGATGGGAACTCGAGGTGGGGGGCAGGAGTGGGTTGGGATGGGTTGGAGGCTGAGGAAGCCCAAGCAATCAGACATGAATGATTTCACTTAGTTTAAACTGTCCTGGCAATTCGTGCATTTTGTGGAGACTTAAAAAGAAACTATTTTAGTACTAAAAATGCAGGTGTGTTTTACCCAGAGATCCAACTATTTAAACAGCATCTAAAACCTCGTCAGATACTAATTCAGTGCCTGAGTTGCCTCAAAACCGTTACTGAATTACACAGTAATTTTTCAGTGTTTTTCCTGGTTTCAGATGGAATTGTAGGTGGTACTGTGTAGTATAACCATTGTAGTTGCTTTGGAAAGTTGTGTTTGTTCTTTTGTAGAATGGATATTTAAGGTTTGTATTGTTACACACTGTACAGATGATAAAAACCCAACGAACACGTGTATTTGTCATTGAAACGATCCGTGTGGGCTCCTTTAACAAAAAGGGATGTGGGCCACGGACACAAGTCCCTCACAGCTGCCTAAGCACGAGTGATGACACATCTGGGGGCAAGACTCAATGTTGCAAACAAGCCAAAACGGCCAGAAATGGCATTTCCTTACCTGTGTAAGGGTGAAAGCCTTTAATGTATTTCTCTACAAAAATACCAGTTCACACTGCTTAGAGCATTAAACATCTCACTGCATGTTCAAGTAGCCATTAGGTTCATATAGTATTTTTTCAAACGAGGAAATAAATGTTTGAATAGGAAAAACTATTATAATTAAGGAAGACTTTTTCTTTTTTTAAGGTTTAAAAAGTTCTTTTCTCCATTGTTATTGCCATATCACAAAGCTATTACAAGAGTTGGAGATCTATCGAAGTGTCTTGTACTGGTGAATTTACCACGTGCAATATTAACCTGTGTGTTCTCCCAGTGCTCAGGAGGGAGCCTGTTATTCCTGGCCATATTTTAATTCCTGATTTATGTTTTGGGGAGCCTGGGAGGCAGTTTGAAGCTTGTGCTTACAAAAGCACCACAGTATCACAAGGCAGAGGGATGGATGGATTTTGCCTTACTTTAAAGAAAACACACACAATTGTCCTTCTTTATTAACAGGCTTTATCAGGAATTACTGAAATCCTGTGAAATTTAAGATCTCTTGGAAATAAAAGTTTGGTTACATTTTAAATCCAGCATCAGATTTTTCTTGTTTACTATGGTTTCATCTTTCTGAACGAGGTGATTTTTCTTTCTTAATATTGGCTTTAACTTTCTCCGTGACTTAACTCCTGGTCAGGTTTTTGGGAACTGTGGAATACTAAGTGGGATTTGACACACAAGTCTCTGTACCCACACCAGCTTGCTGTGTTTTCCTGTGCAAGTTTGGTGAATTACAGCCATTATTTTGGAGAAGCTGTAATTAAAACTTGCTGCCAAATTCTGTCAGTTCAGCGACCCAAAACATTCAGAAACGAGGTCAATCTCTGTCTCAACGGTCAAGAAAATTGCCAAGTTTAAGAAAGCAAAGTCACTCCCCTCGTCTGTCCCCCCCCTGCCATATGGGAGCGTTCAAACTGTATCAGCATTCCTAAGCCAGCTCTGGGAGCCAGGCTGAATTATTCCTTTGTCTGGGGAACAAGGCACCAACACAAACTGAAAATACCGAAAATCTCTTTGTGGTGTGTGTAAAACTTGAGTTTTTTGATGCAGATCTCTTGCATGACTTTAGGAGTGCCAGGAATCTGTTACCTCTGTGCTGTATTTCTGTTTCCATGGGTGCAAGAACTGAATTTGTTTCTTTCTTGTTTTTTCCTCTGTAGAGGGCAGGCATTGAGGATTTAAGCTGTATATTAACCGTTCCTGTATCATTCCAATAAAATTGTTTTAGAAAGCTTTCTCACACCATCGGCCTGTTTGCATGTTTTGTTCACGATTTGAAGTAGAAGAGTTTTCAGATGAAAACTCGGCTTTTGAAAAGTTCAGGATTCATACAAGGTGAACATCATTAATCCACCGCTGCTGTGGGTGAATCTGCTGGCTTGGAATCTCTCACCTGTTGCCACTAATGGGGTTTAATTACTAAATGGGATTTAATTTCAGGTACATCTCCCCAAAACTGTCTGTAAGGTTTGAGGTTTCTTCCCTTATTAACTCATTTCCCGCTCGTTCCCCAAGGCAGGCACAAGTTGGAAGCAGTCGAGGCAGCAGCTGCATCCCAAGCCCAGAGAGCTCTCCCAACCCTCTCCCTGCTCTTTTACAAACCGTAATTAATTAGCTTTATGCTGCTCACAGCAGGGAACTGTGGTATTTAATATTTGTGTTGCCACAGAGCAGTGCAGGAAAAATTTTAAACTAAGACTGTTATTTTTACCTTCCCTGTTTGCCTGGTACATCAGCAGGTACCCCCTCAGCTTTGCACCACCTGGAAGATCTGCAGAGCTACAGGAATCCCGTTCTCAGCTCTAAACAGCCCTGGGATTTGCCCAAATCCCAGACTTCAATTCACATCCTCGTGAGGAAACCAATAACCTGATTTTTTAAGGAGTTTTGTGATTTTTACAGGATCAGCTTCTCTCTGTGTGAACAACAACAGCCCAACCAGGAACTCTCAGTCAACACTGATGCCTTTTCAAGGTGATTATTGCTTGTCTCTCACACTTGCTCTTCTTTAGTGTCTTAAAAATGGTCCATAAGATGGGAAAAGGGCTTTGGATGCCATTTCTAAATTGCAATGAATCCCATTTCCTTCCCCTGTGTATCCACTTGTCTTGTACAACCCACAAAAAAAAAATCATTGGTTTTCTTCTTTGTTTATAAAACATCTTAAAAACCCAATTGTTGCTCATTAATGTAAAGCTCAATACAAATAGTTTTCCAGAATCTGTTCGGAAAACCAGCTCCATGTGTGCATATGATGTGCCCTTCACTTGTTGTTCAGGTTCCAGTGGTGTGTGCTGCAATAATAAACTTTTCTACCAATTCCTGTGGGATTTTATTAATTTCTCATATCCTCAGTCTATGCCATAGAAAGTTCTGGAATGTCTGATTATATCCCTCAGCTTGTGCTGCACCTATTTCATGGAAAGGTTTGTGTTCCACCTACTCTGTACCTACACATAACAATCCACTCCACAAATAAATCATATCTTTTATTGTTTTTCCCTGCAGAAATACTCTGTGATTTATCCATATTACATGATCTTGGTAGAATGTTTTAGCTTGAAAAGTTCACTATAAAAATTTTGAAGTTTATCCTTAAAAATCTGGACCGAGTGGGTAAACTTTTGGAAATGCAAAAGGATTCTGAAAGTCCAAGTGATGAAGTAGAAATTGTTGTGTTACTACAGGAGATGAGCACAGTGCTGCTGTGAGTACTGAGTATCCAAAATCCAGGTGTTCAGTACAAAATACATTTATTTAGTGTGTTGTATTCATGACGTATCAAAATTGGTCATGTATGTACTGTACTAGTAATATATAGTAATTCCTTATATATGTTAATTATATATATAAAATATACACACCATATAGCAATATACAGTAATTCCTTATATATGTTAATTATATATAATATATATACACATGATATAGCAATATATAATATTTCCTTATAGTAATTCCTTCTCTCACAAGTTGGCTTATTGAAGATATCATCAGGAACTTGGTGATTTCTTCATTTTAAGTCGCTTGGTGTTTCAAAATCCCTAAATAAAAGGAAACCGGCACATCATTAATACAACGTGAGCAGCACTAGAACTCCCGGTTCCTTTCTGAACCCTTTCCCCAGCACGCAGGGCAGGTTATTTTGTGTTTATACAACCCGAAGTTATCAGACACACGTTTTATAACCGGGATCATCCATGGAATCCATGAGTTTATCCATGGAACCCCCGAGCTCCAGGTCCTGCCCGGCCCGGCCGGGAGGGGCAGCAATGGCGCCCGCGCCCCCTCAGCGCCGCCGCCGCGCGCCGTTGCTGCGGCAACCGGCAGCCACTCAGCGGCCGGGCCAGGCCTGCCCCGCCTTCCCATTGGGCGAGACCGCCGTCCATCAGCGCGAATTCCCGCCCCCCTCAGGTACTTAAGTCTCGGGGGCCGGGGGAGCTGAGTGTGGTGTCGTGTGGGGGCTGGCGGCGCTTCCGGAGGTCTCCATCGCATCCACCGCTGCCTGTGCCCCCCGGACCCTCCCCATGCCCTTTGCTCGTGGCTGTGCGGGGAAAACGGGCGGTTTTCCATTACTAAAGCCCTGCCTTGTGTCAGCAGCGCGGGGCTGAGCTCACCTGAGGGCGGCCAGGGGCTGCTCTGCGGAGGGTGTTTGAGGGCTCGGTCGGGCTGCTCGGGGGAAGTGCTGGCAGTTTAAATCCAAACTAAAGGACTTGCGGCAGCTGTGCTTGGAAAAACAAACAAACAGAAAACCCCACAAAACAATTAAAACACTCAGTGTCGGTTTCATGTTTTTATGCATGTAAAATACACAGGCTGTGCTGAGAAAGAGGACTTTGCTTACATGCAGCCTTAGTTGTGTAATGTAAGTGTGTGTGGTAACATACCATGCTGTAGTATTTATCTTGGGCATATATATATATATATATATGTCTTTTTCATATATTCTACAGCTGATGAATGCTATAGTGGTTTTTTTACCTCTGTGTTCTGACATCCTTGCCTTGCTGTTTCTCCCAACTGTGCTCAGCTTCTAAAATAACTTTGGTTCTGATTTTATTTTTTGTCAATAAAAGGGCATTTCTTTTTGATGGAGTTGATAGAAATGCGTTGATTTCCTTGGATATTGGTGCATTTAACCCCTGAATCCCAGAATACTTTGAGATGGAAGGGACTTTTAAAGCCCATCTTGTTCCACCCCCTGCCATGGCAGGGACACCTTCACTGGACCAGGTTGGTGACTGCAACTGGAATGGGAGGTGATTTGGTTTTAATCACGCAAGATGAATTATCTGACTTGATTTCTTTGTCTCTGTTACTTCTGTGTTTTGTTGAAACAGCTGCACAAAAATTCCAGCTGCAGCTGGCACTCATTACAAGCTCAGCAAGGTTTTAAACTACTTGGAATTTGAACCACCCTGGCTCCTGGCCCCCAAGACTCTGAGCAGCGGCTCTGCTGAAGTCCCAACCACGCCTTCTGTGCAGAAATTAGTAATGTAAAATGAGTAAATATGGAGTAATTTTAAACAGCTTTTAAATGGGAAATGGCTCTTACGTAAATTCAGTGGGAATAAAAATAGCTGTAGTTCTGCCTCCACAAAAAGTGGGGTCTTTTTTGAAATAGGGGTGAAAAGGAAGGAAGAGGAGTAATTTTAGAGACTCCCTTGGACCTAAATGGCCAGTTACTTCAGACCTTACATTAATTAATTTCTAAGGCACAACATGGCTTCCCACTGCCAGAGGGCAGGGTTAGATGGGATATTGGGAACGAATTCTTGTCTGGGAGGGTGGAGAGGCCCTGGCACAGGTTGTCCAGAGAAGCTGTGGCTGCCCCTGGAGCTCTGGAAGTGTCCAAGGCCAGGTTGGACAGGGCTTGGAGCAACCTGGGCTAGTGGAAGGTGTCCCTGCCCATGGCAGGGAGTGGGATTGGGTGATCTTTAAGGTCCCTTCCATCCCAAAACATCTTGTATGAACATTATTTTACTACCAAAACATGTTGTGTGATGAGTTGCAGTCAAAGTTGCTGCTATAAGGTTATCTTGACACTCCAGTTTTATTCTATATTTGTGTCTTGCCCTTGCCATTAAACAGTGTTGTTTTAGGATCTTTTGTCTAGTACTTCGATGAGATTCAGCTTCTGATTTATTGAGGTTTTTTTTGTCTTCTGAGTAAAAGGAAATTTAGAAAAGGCATCAACAGAAAACTGCGCAGACTGTGCATGGACTGGATGTTGTACTGAGCAGTGGGATGGCTCAGTGCTTGACCTCGGCTTCAGCTTGAAAAGGACACACTAAAACCCCCATGGAGGAACCTCAGATGTGCCATTGAACCAGAGGCAATTTTTGAGCCCAGAAAAAATGGGTTTGGTCAAAGAGTGACATGATTGTCCACAGCTGTCCCATGGCTGTTGCTTTCACAGATTCTCATATTTGTGTGTTATAAACACGGCGTATTTCATCAAAATCTTGATGACATGAAGTTGTCAAATTCTTTCTCATCAGCAGGACGTCACAAGAGTCTAAATTTAGCCGTGTCTCCGAAGGGGAAGTGGTGTGAATAACACGGTAAGTCAGCTGGGTGGTGGAGCAATGCTCAACTCAACGTGTCAATGGACACGTCTGGTGGAATTTGGTTCCAGTTTCGACCAGCACAGCCCCTCTGATCCCTCCCTGTGCCCTATTATGGCAGTCCCAGCTCGCTGGCATCACACCGTGGTCGGAAATCTCTCAGCCCAGTTTCCAACATCCTCTTTGAGGCTGGGCCCTCCTTTGTGTTCAAACCCCGCGCCCTTTCCCGCTGGGATCGCTTCTGTTTTAACAAGGAACAAGAAATGGGGAAGCGCATCATGTGTGTGTCAGGCTCTTTGCTCACAGAGAGCAGCGAAGGAGGAGTATGTAAGAGTCTGTCCTCCCCCAGCAGCTGGAGTGGGGCAGCTCTGGGCTCGGGGAAATCACCTCGGACCCCGCTGGGCTTGGTAAGTTGGGCTTTTTGTGCCTTGCCTTTTCCCTTTCGCTTTGTCCCAGAATGCAGGAGCCACTTATTTCATTTGAAACAGAGCAGTTTTGTTAAGGTCACCCTATTTTAGCTCTACATGAGCATTTTCAAAGCAATAACCCAAGATTTATTAGCAGGGAAGGAGCTGGGTACCTTGAGGTCTTACAGACCAGGGTGAGGACCTGGTTACACATCCTAGGAGGAATGCAGCATTCCAAATTCCAGTGACCTTCAGCAAGATTTAAATTGCCAAGTATTCTCCTCTCTTTGGAAAATGGTCTCCTAAGTGCCTGAAGTGCTTAAGAATGTGTTGTCCAGCTTTTTACATATGTAAATGATACTGTAGATAACCAGCAATGCTGATGTAGCCAAGTGTGCTGCCTTTGCTGTCTGCTTTGGCCTCAAAATTCCAGGGTTCCCTTCAGCTCCAAGGAGGGACTTGTGCTAGTCAAGCTAAAACAACCCCCCAAAAGAAAAAAACACCATTTCAAACCATGAGCACACTGTGGAGGTGTGAATGTACTTGAATTATGCAGAGATTCAAAAGATATTTGAAGGACAGAATGATTTTCTTGTGTTGATCTTTCCCATTCCTCCACAAGGAGAGTGGTGGTGATCTTGATGAGTTCAAGTCTGGCTTTAAAAGTGAAGATTCCCATTGATTTTAACAGTAGGTGAACTGAAAAGGAATGATAAGGAATCATTAAATGTAGATTATTTTGAGACACCTTTCACTACTTATCACTTCATTATCAGGGAAGACAAATTAACTGTGTCTTTTAAATTCATCACTAAGAGGGACTCTAAACACCTCTGTCCATGTGAGCTGCATTTTGGGTGCAGTTCTATTGTACTTGCAGACCTCTCAGCATCTTTTGAAGCTCCTTGGTACCTCACAGGAGGGCTCAAGTCAGAAACAACCTCCAAATCTGAATTTGCTCTTTATATCCTTCCTGTGTCACTTCTTTAGCTCTTAGAAATTGTTGTCTTTCAATGGAAAACATTGATTTGCCACTGATGATGGTGACACAGACGAGTAAGATGAATTTGCTGATTTTTACAGCTTATAAGTACTAAGTGTCTCAAGTAGCCATGATGCAGGAGAGACCTGGGGACAGAATGGATGTTACAGATGAAAAGCTGTTTAATGCCCTCCCTTTGTCTTCAGGATGATTTTTGTGGGCATGGTAAAGAAGTTAAAAGAGGAAAAACAAGTAGTTTAATGTTTGCTAAAAATAAATACTCTCAAGAAAAAATAAAGAGAAAAATCACAATATTTATTAAATATATTGTTGTTGTTATTATTATTATTATTATTCTCTGCCTGTCTTTCAGTCCCAGGGCTCCATGGAACTCTGGTGATCAGGCTGTTACTCCCACTTGTCCTCATGTTGGCAGAAGGCATCTTAATGAAGCTCATCTATAAAGAAAGCTGTCATCAAGATAAGCCTCGGAAATCCCCTGCATCCCAAAAGGCTAAAGAGGGAATCTGGAGACAGAAACTTGTAGACTTCCCAAAAATCAAAGGCTTTGCTGATGGATGTGAGAAGCAGGATGAGATCTCTGCTCGAAGCAGCAAAACAGAACCTGGGAGTGGCCCTGGCTGGGGATCCAGAGAAAGGGAACCTGCAAAAGATCAGGAAATGCAGGTTAAAGGACCTGTATCCCCAGCTTTACACATCCCCAGGAGAGGGCAAAGCCTCGACCAGCTGGATTTGTACAGATCCTGGCCATGCAACAGCATTTACCAGAACTATCCCGACCTGCAGATCGGGGGGGACTGTGTGGGGGAACACACGTGTGACTCAGGCTGTGTCCTGGACCACGTGTGTGATGAACTTCCTGATGGCCCTGTCCTGCTGTCCATAGATATTCCCCTGGGCCAGTCCCCTCCCTGTGAGCATCCTGAAAAGCCCAGTGTGACATCCCTGTCTGGGCATGAAAACAGAGCTGAAGCTGCAGAGAGGAGCATCGTGCTCTCTGAGGAGCCTCTTTCCAACTCCACGCTCAACAAGTACATGGAAGCCAAGGTGGCAGAGCTCTACAAGCAGTTTTTTGAAGAAAGCCTGGCCAGGTGTGGCTCTGTAACAAACCTCCTGACTTGCAGCTGGCTGAGGAACAGCCTGGAGCAGATCAGCTTCCAGATCTCCCAGGAGCAGAACATAGAAGCCTCCAAGGCCAGAGGAGCCCTCCTGCTCTCGCTGGCTTTGTTGAGTTGGCGAAACGCTCCCAACAGGAACAGCTCAGAGTTCAGCACCCCAAGCCTGCAGATCTCCAACCCAGCGGGGGTGAAACGGAG